GCACAATTCTAATTTTCAAGGAGTCATTTTCTTCCTTAAGATTATGGGTCTCCCTTTCCAGTTGGTTAGCTTTCTTTTCATAATCTTCTTATTTTTCTTGGATTGTTCTATTTTTAAAAATTTTTCCTCAATCTCTCTCATTTGATTTTTAAAGTCTTTTTAAAGTTCTTCTATGAATTCTCTTTGGGCAGGTGACCACTTGACATTACACTTTGGGGAGGAGAGGCTATTGTTTTGCTTTAGTATCCTTCTCTGAAGACAACCCAGGTCTTCTCTATTCCCATAGTAGCTTTCTATAGCTGGATTCTTTCTCCTTTGCCTGCTCGTTTTTCACACTTTTTTTTATATAGCAACTTGTAATCACTTGTAGTCTTGGGGCATGGGGGATGGTGCCTCTGGCCTCAAGTTCTCCTTCAGTTCTCCCCTCTGGCCTAGAACTGAAACCAAGACCTCCAGCCTCCTGTAAGTGCCCACAGTCAGTACAGTCCCCTTCTCCTTCCCCCTCCCCACCCCACTTCTGTCCTCACTGGACGTGTTCTGGTTTCTTCATCTCAACAGTACAGGTGGGCCTGGCATCCTTTACTAGCAGAGGTCCCCTCAGTCTTCCCCCTCAGTTGCCAAACTCCCCACACTGTCTAGGAGGTAAAAATTCTTGTGGCTGGGGCTGAGGCTACCTCCCAACCCAGTTTGACCCAGGACTGGGCTTGCCTGTTTGCTGTTTCAGTAGAACTAGCCTGAAGGTGTTTACACTTCACAGGGACCAAACCTTAGTCCTGGCTGGGATTTCTCTTCCATTCTTCTCCTATTGTGGGGAGGAGGGGGGGCGGGTGAAGCAAGGGACTACTGTTCTGCCTCAACTCTTCTTTATCTTTACCTGCTTTATATTAACTCTGGAAGGCACTATTTTGTCTTGTTTATGGGGGAAATGTGGAGAGGCTGGAATTTTCTGACCTATTCTGCCATCTTTCCAAAATCCTGTCTACACAATAATTTGTAAAAATTAACAACTTTGAAAGACTTCAGAACTCTGATCAATGCAGTAACCAAGCACGATTCCAGAAGACCAATGATGAAGTATGCAAATGAAAACACATTGTTTTTGACATGGCCAATAAGGGATTTTTTCTTCCTTGGCTATGCATATTTTTACAAGGGTTTTTTTTCTTTTTCATTTATGGAGAGGGAGAGTAAATAAATGTTTACTAATTTTTAAAAGAAAGGAAAATTCTAAAAAGAAAAAAATCGCTCTAACAAAAGTTATTTTGAAGTTAAAATTTCTGTATTTCTGAACAAAGAAAATTTCAAAGGTTATGAGTTTAGGTAATAGTTCAGTTAACAATTTGCTTCATCAAACAGAACAACAGTCAGTTAAAATGTCAGTGCATGCTAACGAATTCAAACTTGATTAATGTATTGCACATTCTGTCTGCTTACCATCCTTCATCCATTTTCTGGAGCTTTAAAATTTGTGCTTAATGTTTTGTAGTTTCCTAACAGAAAGTATTAGGACTTAGGTTTGGATAAAAGGGGAAAAGGAAACCATAGCTATTTAGAAATCTGATTAAATACTAGTGAGGTTTCCTTTATTCAGGTAGGTCTGCAAAGGACTTTACACCAGAGAAATATTTCTCTCTTACTTTCTTTTTTAAAAAATAAACTTTATTCATACTTTTAAAAACATTACCCAAATTTCTTTGATCATCTGATACCCTCCCCTCTTCCAGAGAGCCATTCCTTATAAAAACTAATATGGGGGGAGGGGCAAGGCAATTGGGGTTAAGTGACTTGCCCAGAGTCACACAGTTAGTAAGTGTTATGTGTCTGAGGCTGAATTTGAATTTAAGTCCTCCTGACTCCAGGGCCAGTGCTCTATTCACTGTACCACCTAGTCACCCCAACAACTAATATTGTTAAAGAAAAAAAATTAAAAGAGGAAAGAGAATGAAGTCAGCAAAACCAATCAATACATCCAAAACAAGTCTGAAGATATATGCAATGTTTCACTCCCATGGACCTCCTACCTCTGCAAAGGAATGAGATATGGGTTTCTTCTGTTTCTTCTTCAGGGCTATATTTATACGTTTTACATTTGCAACATTTGCTTTGGATTATTTTTTGGTTGTTCTTTTACTTTACAATACATTGCAATGACAATAGTTTTCTTGACTATGCTTACTTCACTTTGCACCCTGACCACATAGATCTTTCCATGCTTCTCTGTATTCATCATATTTACAGAGTCTTACTGCAATTTGTTTAGTCATTCCCAAATTAATGAATACCTACTTTGTTTCCAGTTCTTTGCTACCACAAAAAGTGCTCATATAAATATTTTAGTGTACATGGGACCTTTTTTTTTAAATCAATGACAACCTTAAATTCTTAAATTCTTAATGCTTTTTGTTAAGAAAAATGAGGCTGCAATATGCTTCCATTTGGGTGACCTCTATTCCTGGCCCTATTTCCATTTCTTGGTGCTCAGTACTTGAAATTCAGTCAATCATTTAGCAGTTTTACTTAGTTCTGCTTTGGTTTAGGTATCACTCATGTGTCCAAACAGGCCCTGGTTGTAGCTATGTTCTGCTTGTATCATGCAATGGTGGTTTCCATTCTCTTGGTCCTTTATCTTTCCAAATATGTTTTTGTCCTTTGTTGCATGTCTCAGTAGGTTTTTTATAAGTGCCTTCCTTGAATGGTTCCTGTGTCTACAGTGAGGTAAGAATGGAGCCCCTGGGCACCAGCGAAGAAACAGTATACAAATCAAACTCCTCTTCTTGACTAGTAAGAGAAGCCATGAGTGTATTGTTACACTCAGGATCATTATTACCTATGAATCCCATCATAAGTGAGAGTTCTTTCTTTTACTGAGGAAATGCAATAAAGAATTAAATAAAAACACTTTTTTTCTCCATGTGTTGAATCTCTACCAATCTTTTAAAAGCCACTTTATCCGGGAGGCTTTCTCTAATCTCCCAGGTGGGAACTACCTTTCTCCTCTTGAACTTCACATAGGGATTGAATATATACTTCCATTGGCACAGGAAAATTACAGATTAGGAAACTCCTTCCCTGTAATTTAGTCTTAGAGAGTTGCCTATAGCACTAAAAGGGTAGGTGACTTGCCCAGAATCACTTATCCAGTGGGTATTAGAGGTGGGACTGAACTCAGGTCTTCCTGGCTCCAAGGGCAGCTTTCTATTCATGATATTACACTTTCTCTCTCATGGACTTGATATGCCACTTTGTTTTGTACCACTCTTATGCACTTATGTTTTATTTTATATTATAGTTGTTCATGTATAGATTATGTCTCCTCACTAGATTGTAAACTGTAAGAAGTGGGGAACCACATCTTACTTAAACTTCATATCTGCCTCAGCACCTACCATAGTGCTCTAAACACTATATGTTTCTCTGTTGAATTGAAACTAGGCATGGTGGTGACAATAGCTATCCTATTTTCCTGACCAAAGTAGAATGGGGCCAGCAGTAATTGCCAATCCTTTCCCATCAGGTTTTTTTCCCCTCAGAAGACAACTGAGGATTGAAAACAGAGGACCCTGGGGCTGGGCTGGGGGGAGGGGAGAAAAGAATGACCACTAAAGGAGCATGATGGTGGGGCATGGGAGAGATGTTGAATAGACACCATAAAGTAGATTGAATTCAACAGCAATGCAATCTAACAAACATTATTGAGAAGTCTGAAGTTTGAGAGTTTTTTGCACGGTTTTTAAATGAAGTGTCTATTATTCCTGCCAATTGGGAGTGACAGTGGAGACAGGGGAGACAGTTTAGGGAAGAAAAGAGTGTGTAAGCTTAAGGTCCCATATGCCATTTTCTTTATAGTTAGCATATCTTCTCCTTATAAACTTTTACAAGAAAAAACATTAATGAAAACAATAGAAAGATCAGTCATTACTGGAAGAAGTGAGGTTAGGGAGAAAAAGGAATGCATTTCAATCTGTCTATGTTTGATTTGTTTCTGCTAATGGTTAGTAAGAATGTGAAGTTTAATTTTAGTGGGACAGGATCACTGCCTCAACTCATTCTTCCTCCTCCCCCTATTTCTGCCTCTAGATGAGGCTTTCAACGAAAGGGTTGAGACAAAAGGATTCTTAAGAATATGGTAAGCACGCTGAGAGTGTTGCGGGAAATATATTTGGATTGCTTTCCTAGTACCACTACTGGCTGAAATCTGGGGGAAATTTCTTAACCTTTTGGAAGGTTGGTATTTCTATAAAAATATCATGTTTGTCAGCAGATTGGATTTATATACTGCACTGAATTTCCACCAGAGGGGAATATATGAATAAGAAAAATAATTCCTATTATCCAAGGATATCTGCACGAGAGAGTGAAGTGATATAGCAGCTCTTAATCTTCAGTGATCCCATTTGGATTCTGCAATGTCTTGCAAATTAGTCACTTAGTTAGTTTTTGAAATTAGATTTTAGATTTCCGGGTCCGACTGTACTGGCCATGGTTTCTAACGATATCTGGTCAGAGACCATGACAAAGCTGAAGCATTTTATTGACTGTTTCGTGCAGAAATGCAGTTTATACGGCTGGCTGTCAGTAGCCTGATTTGAGAGCTCTGGTAATCGAGTACTTTGCAAAAGCATCCCTGACCCTTTCTCACAAAGCATGCCTAGAATATTGCTCCAGGAGCCCAAAGCCAAAGAACAAGGTCCTGGGTAGGTCAAACCGAGGGTGAGAGGGAAAGGTGCGGGGGAGAAAAAGCCGCTTGGTCTGCCTGGGGCGGAACAGGATGGAGGAAGGTTGGGCAGGTGTGGTTCTAAGCAAGCGAAGCCGGAGACTTGATCTAGCAGAGCACGGTGGCGGGATCTCTCGGAAGATGCACTAACTGGACTGGGAGCCCAAAGCAAGCCCGCGTTTTAGTAGCTGGGCGGGGGCACCGAGGTCTGGAGTCCGGGAGGAGGCGGGAGCCTGCTGGATCCCTAGGAAGCCACTTCGGGGCGGGAACACCCTCCGAACACCTCCCCTTCACCTGCCAGAGGAAGGAGCGTGGCTAAAAAGGATTTGCTCCTTCTGGTCCTAGCTGCTCCGCTCGCAAGCTGCCCCTCACCTCAGTTCCCTTCTCCTGGGATATATTTAGGTAAGTAAGGAGTTTGTGCCTTTAGCCTGCGCTGGCAGACTTAAGTTGGGCCCCCAAATCTTACAACTTAATAAGAGAGAATGCATGAATGTGGAATTTCTGGTCCCTTGACAGAGACTAAGTTAACATTCACCTCTGTTTAGCCAAACCCACTTTTTTAAGATGGTGAAAATCCTTATCTAGATTTAAAGTTTGAAATCGTCTAATTTAAACTTTCCTTGTAAATTGATTTAGTTTCAGAAGCCTCAGCATACAGTAATACACTTTGTATTTATTAATTACAAACCATTCTTATCTGTTCACTAAAAGAGGCCCCCAATAACTTCTAGATAGCTTTGGAGGTGAGGTAGGGGTTAGTTTGAGTTGCCATATGGATACCTGAAGGTGTAACTTGTTTTCTTTTAAAATCTTCTGTGCTTTCTTTTATCAAAACAGACTCTTACACAGGTGTCCATTAATGATGCTTTATTGCATCATTTAAATCCAGAAGTGTGGGATACAGAAGAGAAAGAAGGAAAGTTGAAGGAAAGCCTCTGTGCCTTTGTCGTAGCCACAGTTCTCTTTGCACTGGCTGTTCCTTATGACTAGAAAGTTCTCTCTCCTCATCTCTATCTCTTAGTTTTCCTGGCTTTCTTCAAGACAACTCAAATTCTGCATTCTTCAACACATAGATGCCTACATACATGTGTATATGTAAACATATACACACGAACATATCTGCATGTATACACATGTATAATATATGTTATGTGTGCTTGGTTATTTGCATGTTGTCTCCTCCATTAGAATGTAGGCTCCTTGAGAGCAGGGAATGTTTGCCTTTTTCATATCCTCTGCTCTCAGCATAGTGCCTGGCACAGAATAAATTTAAGAAATACTTACTGGCTGACTGCCCTACTGACTGACTGGCTGACTGTGAGAGATTATACTTTCTCTTGAAGAGAATTCACCAGGTCAGAACTTCCCCTCTTGGGGAAGAAGAAAGCACCTTATGGTCTTTGTAGATCTCCCTGTAACATGTGTCGGCTGGAATCTAGTACTAGGGAGGTTGGCCAGAAACATCTCTGTATCCCTATCTTCACTTTACAATTTCAGGCACGTTAGAATAATTATCAGAACTTCAGTGGAAACCTTGCTTTCTGGGTCTGGAAAAAAAAATTCTTCTGACCCAGAAGATTGAACTTAGACACTCCTCTGACTCTGCCACAAAACTAGCTGTGTGATACTGAGCTATCTTCATCTCTCTGGTCAGTTTTGAAAAGAAGGGGATGGATTAGATGACATCAACTGCTCCTTTGAATTCCATCATCCTGATGATGACACTGGAAAAAATATTAGTTAGCTACAGAGTCAGAGGACCTACAGCTGAATGCTGGTTCTGCCACTTATTACCTCTGTGTAATTGGACAGATCATTTTTACCTTTCTTTACCTGTAGAGTTGAAAAGGTTGGACCAGATTTCCTTTGAGGTCAGTGGCCTGTAAATCTATAATCTGATAATAGCTGCAATTGCCTTAGCATTATTTAAAAAGTAGGTGAGACAGGGCATTGAAGGAGAAAATCTCTCATTTTCTTGTGATATTCCTTCCAGGCAATGCAGAAAGTTGGGGCTCTTGGGCTAGTTCCAGAAGCATTAAAGGAACTTGACATTCACTCATTTATCTGTTTGGCAAACATTTATTAAGCACTTACTGTGTACATAGTACCAGATTGAGAGCTGGCCTTCAAGTCAGGAATGTGTGTTCTAGTCCCACTTTTCTAAGCTACTATAATTTAAAACTGCATGAAAACTTGGGGGGGGTCTGTGAATGATCCTGAACAAGTCCCACTCAGTGATCCAGATAACTCTCTTAGATTAGAAGTTGTAGATCAGATGCCTGCCTACAGTGGTGGAAGGAGTTTCCCCACTAGGATTTCTCTACACTAATGACATCAAAGGTTGAGACCAAAATATATGTAGTAGGCAATACAAAGTAGGAAGCACAAAGAAGTCCCTGCAGTCATGGAACCCATATGATATAATAATAACAATGGGTTAAATTTAAATCCTATATCAACAGCCTAGATGTACAAAAGAGATATTACTATTTTGTTGTTTTTCAGTCATGTCCAACTCTTTGTGACCCCATCTGGGGTTTTCATGGCAAAGATACTGGGATGGTTTGCCATTTCCTTCTCCAGCTCGTTTGACAGATGAGAAACTGAGGCAAACAGGGTTAAGTGACTTGCCCAGTATCACACAGCTAGTAAGTGTCTGAGACTGTATTTGAACTCATGAAGATGTATCTTCCTGACTCAAGGCCTAGCGCTCTATCCATTGTGCCACCCAGCTGCTTGTATTATTATTTATGGCATATTTACTTAGACTTTCCAGAGTATTATATATGAATTGGCCAAATGTATATTTGAATCACTGTTAAGAAAAATGGATGGTTTAGTGGTTATTTTTCCAAACATTTATAACTGCCAAAATGCTAGGGAAATGATTTTCACTGTCAATGAACAATTACCTTAACTGGTGTATGGAGTCTGTATGGTAAAAAGAATAGACAGGCTTTCATCTCAGTGTATCCAATGTTAGGGAAAATAATTCCTTCTGTTTTCCTTTGGTCCATTCCATTTATATTGACTATGAACAGATGTAAGAATGTGATTGCAAGCATGACTTATTCTAAGTATAAATTTCAGAAGAAAGTAGTTTTGAAGATATCATGAAGAGATAAACCTTGCTTAAAGAAACACATGTGCTCTTGAATAGTTAAATGTGTGTCATTTGTATCCAAACATTGTTAAAGGTTATGAGGGAGGGGGCAGTTAGGTGGCACAGTAGATACAGCACCAGCCCTGGAGTCAGGAACACCTGAGTTCAAATCCAGCCTCAGACACCAGATACTCACTAGCTGTGAGACCCTGGGCAAGTCACTTAACCCCATTGCCTAGCCTCACCCCAAGAAAAAGGTTATGAGGGAATCCCTTATTGAAAGGTATCTGGGGCAGCTAGGTGGTGCAGTGAATAGATCACTGGCCCTGAAAGTCAGGAGGACCTGAATTCAAATTTGGCCTCAGACCAAACACTTGACACTTACTAGCTGTGTGACCCTGGGCAAGTCACTTAACCCCAATTGTCTAAAAGCAAAAAAAAAAAAAGGGATGATCTGCTTTTTTCGTGTAAATGATTACTGTAACATTTATTTTTGGTAATTTAAGATTTTTATACATGTGGTTTACTTAAAGAAAGATCTTACTTATTTTGAAAGCAGAACGAAGCATACTGCTTTCTACTTTTTTCTTCTGTTGGATTTTGTTTCCTCTTTCTGGTGGTTCCTCCTATTGATTCTAATTCTTACTTACAACATCACTAATGTGAAAATGTTTAATAGGAGTGTATATGTATAGCCTATATCAGATTGCACGCCATCTAGGGGAGGGAGGTGGGGAGGGAGGGAGAGAAAAATTTTAAACTCAAAAGCTTATGGAAGTGATTGTTGATAATTCAAAATAAATTAATAAAAAAATTCAAAAAAAAGAAGGATCATACTTATACAAAGTAACATTTTTTGTGGTTGTTGTTGAAAGATGTAACAGAAGAAATGTTTTTGTTTATATACATAAGAGTATCAGGCTTCATCAGACTCTATAAGATTTAGGATCTAAATCTTCTCATTGATGGGCACATAAAGACCAGAGAATTCCTCAGTCCTAAAATGAAGGATACCTCTTTTTCAGAGAGCTGGAAACAAATAAGAGGTCATCTGCTCTAACCTTTTGCCTATACTACAAGTGGGATTCAAACCCAGGTTTCCGATTTCCGGGTTCAACATTCTATCCACTATATCACAGTGCCTCTTTGTATTCTAGAAGATTATGAATGTTCATGAAGATTTGGAGCTAGAGCTACAATTTGCTTTTGACTCCTAATTGACCCTGATTTCTATTTACAAGGATCCTTAATTTCAGACTATAGCCTACTCAGGCTGATTTATGAGGCCACATCCCTGAAAAGTGGGCCTTTTTCATGGATACCTATAAAGTTGGGTTTTTTTCCCTCCTCTTTTTTTTCTTGAAGTTACCTCACCTTATCACCCACACAAAACCTCTTTAGTGATTCTGTTGTCATCTATTCACACAAAAAGAGCTTTATCTTTGCTCCAGATGCCAGGAGTCTTTATTATTCTGCCTACCAACTTCTCCCTCTTCTGCCCCTTGCTTACATTCTAGTGGATGTATACAACATGTACACAAATAAGTATGGTACAAGGAAAATTGTTCAGTTGCCTGAAGGAGAAGGAAACAGCAATCTTCTTCAGTGGTTTTCCCCAAATGGGATCATGAAGACTCAGAAACAACTGAAATGACTGAACAATAACAAGAAAGGAAAATTGAGGAGAGGTATAGCCCTGATAACTGAGAAATTCAGGGAAGGATTCCAAATGGAAGTATCACTTGCACTGAGAGCCTCAAGGGAAAACAAGGATTCCGAGAAACAAAGATAACAGCTAACAACAATAATGATGGCAAATTTTGACGTAGTATTTACCGTGCACCAGCCACTGTACTAAGTGCTTTACAATTGTTTCCTCATTTGAGTCTCACAGCAAATCTGGGACGTAGATGTCATTATTATCCTCATGTTACAAATGAGGAAACTGAGGCAAATAGAGATCACAGAGCTAGTGTCTGAGGTCAAATTTGAACTCAGTCTGCCTGGCTCCAGGGCAAGTACTCTATCAACTGTACTACCTAAATGCCCCTGATAAGATTGGAGCGCATTCCAAGCATGACAGACTGCTGGTTTGAATTTATGGTGATAAGAGGTAGAGTATTGAGTTTAGGGAATAGTATCTAGAGGACCAGCTGGATTGGGACATAGTATTCATAAAGACAAGTACAATTAATCCTCGACTTTCACAGGAATTATGTTCCTAGAAAATAGAGTGAAATTCAAAAACACAAGTGTTGATACATTGAACCTATGGGAAATAGGGAGTTAGATTCCCAGA